ATTTGACGCCCGGATAGAACGAAAAGGATGAAACCTGAGACATGCCGTAATTCATCTGTATTCCACTCACAGCCATTGGAACGTCTGAATTAATAGAGGGCGCAGAATTGTCGCCGCCGGTCATGGTTCCAATTATTGCCTCAACTCTTCCATGAGGCCCAGAACCGTCATTATCTTGCTGACTCCAGCCACAGGAGTGTTAGAAAGGATTAAGCGGTCTAACAACTAAGTATTGGGTCGGCCCATAAGTAACTGTTTTGCAGAGAATTCCTCGCCCTATACGACAGCCCTCTTGATTTTTTTGAAGTTCCTCTGTCCACAAATATTAGAGTGCTCAAACCGGAGCGGTCGACTAAATTAAGCATTTTCCAGCCTCTTTTTTTGTAATTAAAAAGCTAAAACCGCACAAGCTCAGTTGCTAAGAATGTGGCCAAAAGGCTATTTTCTCTAATGAATTCGCTTACAACCGGTCTTTAATTATTTGAAGTTTCTGCATTCGCCTCAGACGGATCCTAATGTCCTACTGAGAGCTTACTAAATTACCTTATTCAAGGAGATTAACGCCGAAGTCTGAAAAATCGTCAGGGGTCATGGAATGTTCTTTATCATTATCAAGCATCACCCTTAGTTGATGTTAGACGATCAAAAGTTAGGGGTAGATTCTGCAAGGCAGTCGCTCCTCAACAGGGCCCCATGCAATGGGCATTGATAGGGTCCGAATTCCCATCTCCTAATAGCTTGGACCAACTACAAGCTGCCATAGAGCATCTTTCCTTGGTCATAGACACCACAAGTTTTAAGCTTTTTCTGTAATTTGAGAGCCAAGATAAAGTGCAAAAAGTTGTTGCCGAAAACTCTTTTTTTGGGTTACCGAGACTCCTTTTCAATGAAATAAAAAATGGACAGATATCGAGAAGTAATGGGAAGGCTTTAATATAATCTTGTAGAGCGAACAATTTCCTATCAAATAGCACAGAATCAGGGAGCATTCTCACTTTACATATGAAAATTCGTGTGAGAAAAAAAAACGTCCATTACTTATGGGCCAACACAATATACAGGGGGGGGGACCAAACCAAACTTTCTCCTTCCTTGACATTAGTGGCAATGATTAAATTCTTATCGGACATTTCTACCACCATATTAAAGAGCATATTAAATACTATCATGATACTCCGCCACAGCCTTCTGGAGGAGCGCCATCGAGAGATTCTGCCACGCGACCGTGAGTGGGTGCCTGAGTTCAGCGAGATCGTTGATTTCTCCGCCACTGTAGACCACCCTATTGAACTCCGCCCCAGGTAATTGAGGGGGTTTAGGTCAGGTGACCTGCTTAGATATTCCACCTTCTTCAGGTACTCAACGCCCTTCCATTCCAAGTAGGCAAGAGTTTTCCCAACGCCCTTTGATTCCATGTGGTGTCACCCAATCCTGTAGCAGTACAAAGTTTCCAAGAAGGTACGGGCGACGACATGTGGAGAGGATATTCTTCTCGAGTTGCTCGATGTAACCGCCAGCGCTCACCTTCAGTCCGGGGCCCACGAAGAAAATATCGGTCTTCCATTCCAGGTCCACACCATCAACCCGCGCCTTGGCGACTGGGGTGAAGATGATGTCCTGGACCGTAGCGACGTTGACGGAGCTGCTCGATGATGGAGGTCTTCCAGATCGAGAGTACTGGTCTCCAGGTAGCTATCCATGGGTGACTCCATACTAGAAGTTTCGCAGCTGTTTGGAGGTGACATGAATTCCAAAGGTCTTCTCCAGTCAGGCTGCGACTGGAGATGACTTCATATTTTGGTGTACATGAAGCTGATGGGTGAGAGCCAGCTCCTGCTTATAGAGGAACATCTTGGGTATCTTCCGCCCTGGTACTCGTATCCACGTCCTCTGTCTGGGCTGCGAAAACTTTGCTGATATGTGACTCGGTCGAAATGTCTTTTTTGCCCCCCCCCCCCCTGTAGACTTATCTAAGCGCTGAAGCTTGACCTTTCTTACCACAATAATCCCCACGCGAGTACATTGGAACTAGCTTGGTCCATTATCCAAGCATACGCGCGAAATACGGTACACAGCTCACGAATACGGTGGAAAGCTCCATTGTATGTATGAAACAGAGTGATGGATCGAGCGTTCCCCTGGGTCGACTCGTATGGTCGGCGCAGCTGTTATTATAGACAGCCCCGCCGCTCGAGTATCCTTGTGCAAGTAGTACAGCCCCCAAGCTAGAGACTGTCCCACTCTATTTCGTCTGCACAGCGAGCGAGAAACGCGCTACAGCCGCTGTAAGTTCTAGTTCTAACGCCTGCTCAGTTGCAGCCTTACTTGCAGATGCCCTCCGACGAGGCCACGCAGTTGTTCTTAGTTGGGGCGGCGGGCATTAATCGGAATTGCATCTCCTCTTTGCTGACGCACTCGTGCTCATGGAATAATTCTTGCTTTTTACTGCCATTACGGTTTACTCAGTGGGTGCGCTTATACATTCAACTCAACCATTCGCGATGTGAAACGCGTAATAGAATCAGGAGGGTGACGCCTATTTTCGTGGTGCAAAAGCTCGACGCACTTCAGTGCACTAAAATGTGCGCTACCGTACCCAAAATTCGGACACGAGTTTTTAAAATTTCTTTTTCCTTCCAAGAGTTTTTCCTCTGCGTTTTTGTTGTTTTTTTTTATTTTTTTTGCACTGGATGATATCAACTTTTGCGAGATGTGATAGAGAGATTTGTGAGCTAGGGGTTGCACAGAGACCGCAGGGAGGTGTGACTATGAGGGAGCGACTTTGTTTATGTTTCTGCCGACGGAACGCTTCCTGCTTGTTTACTTCTCTGGGAGATTACTTATCAGCTACTGTTTCAGGATTGAAAAGCAACTATCCAAGACACTTTTCGACCCCAGGCGGGACACAAACCCGCACATCGCGGGCGAGTGCCAGTATTCTCGTGGTGACTTTTGGAGCGCGAACAGCGGCATCAAACAGCAGCTATCTTAATTAAATGACCTCTGAACTGACTTTTACACTTTACTTAAACACGGTATTTTCAATTGCAGGTCACTCCACAATCAAAATTACTCTACGACTCCGAATGGAAGTGGGATTCACGACCTACTTGGAAGCTTCACCCTTTACCTCTATGGTGGACCACTCAATTAACACTTCCGTTGTCGCTTTGCCCACCTAATTTCGGTATTTCCAAGTTCAGCTCCACAGTCTTAGAACTGTCAACCCAGGTCCAGTTCCTCATTAAACACCTAGAGTCTGTTTTTCAAACACTGCTTGCCGTATTGTCATGTAATCGAATCCGATTCTATAATGGGGTGCTGGCTGGTTGTAATCTCTTACGCACATAATGATCACCCAACACATCTGCTTCGCTGCTACCACACACACTCTTCATTGCGCACACGCACAGCCTTGCCTGCTACCGTAATGAGGACACACCTCTACTTCCGCTGCCCACCCAATTAGTGGTTCACGCCTGGTCATTTATGAGCTCTACTTGGAAGTTATTTTCTTTATAAGCTAACTTCTCAGCGCTTTGTTCATGAATTTGCCGAGCCCATAACTATCATAGATGAGCAGATCTCCACATTTCAACCTTTACAGTACTACTGGTATACTTCCCAGTATTTTGTCGCCAACACTGAGAGAGCTATTTAAAACGGGAAATAGCAAAAAAGAAAAAATTCGCTTTGAAAACATTACTCTGAAGATCATGCGATTATAATCCCACGCTCTTTCCCCTCCCCACCTCCTCACCAGCCGACTATGGCCCTGGCCCTTCGTTGGGATTCCCCAATAGTGTTGCATCCTGTTTGGTGGTCAGCCAGAAGCTGATCCGTTCACTGTTGGCCTATCAAATGCCTTGAAGCTCACACAATCGGCTTTACTGAGCATCGTCGGCACGCAGTGATATTGCCCTTATCAGCACTATTTCAGTCTTTCGACGCCGGCAGCGTTTTTATCGAATTCATTTTTGGCCCAATACTGGCTTTATGCTAGCTCTCTTCGCTCTTCGCTGGCTTTTATTCCTTTGTGATTCCATTAAATTCATAAACTTTGACTGAAGTTGATTTTTATGAAACAAACACGAATTTATCATATTCTTCGTGTCTGTCGTTATTGAGAACTGGACATCCTATTAACATTTCGGCAGGATCATTTCCTTTTGCTCATCTCACGAACCGCGAAAAAAGGAGAAAAAAAAGAAACAAAAGAAAAGCTTAGCATGTAAACTGGCCTTTTGTTGTCGAGCATTCTTTCACAAGTTTTTTCTGCTTTCAAATAATTCACCGACAATTTTAACTTTTTCCTGCTTTTCTCGCTTCTTATATTGCTCCTAGTCCTACTTTGCTGTCGTCTTATACGGTCACATTAGCTTAAAAAATGATGCAGTTCGGCTTAGAGGGAGCATCAAAGCGTTCTCAGGCTCAGCTTGTGCAGGCGCCCTTGTGAGAACCTGTGAACTCTCGTGACCAAAATGCTCACTAGAACAATTTCGCAGCTTCACAGGAGTCGGCAGGTCTAACCTAAGTGAGACCTGTCAGTTAACATAAACTAACAAAAGCAACTAGCCAATGCGTAAAATGCCCCTTCCAAGCCGATCAGCGTCAAAAATTGAACAAAGGTTCAAATAAAACTGGATAAGGCTGGGGAACAATATATGATATATCTGATGGTAAGTGTTTGGTTTCTGTCCAAGCGAACGAAAACTAGCCTAGTACCTTGAACCCAGCCCCTTAAACGGTTCTAGAAGGCATTGCACATTCATTATTCTACTGTTTGCTAAATAACCATTGAAAATGCCGTTAAATCACAAATTCTTTTTGAAGCACTGAAAATCTACCGAGAAACCGATTTTGCATTATGGCGACAGCCTCTCGATAATTCTCATCAACCCAGCTCGTCTGCCGTAATTACTCACTCTTATTCAATTACTCTTCTCAATTTTCAATCTCCATTTACAGTATTGATCAGCGGGCCACTTATTCAGAATTACATGTACAACATACCGCCACCGTACAACTACTGCCAACAGTCACCTTGCTACTCCGATGGGGACGATCGAATTTATAAAAGACGACGAAACGAAATCAGTGGTAGACAAAGAATTGCAGCGAATGAACGAGAGAGGAAGAGGATGAATAGGTAAAAACTACAACTGCTCATAAAGTTATGAGTAATAGTAATAAAGTGCATAAATAAATAAATAAGGCTGAGACAAATAACTATGACATTTTTTAGCATCAATCGCGGTTTCGACTATCTCCGACAAAGGCTGCCGAACAACACGCACGAAAAGAAACTATCTAAGGTCTACTGCCGAATATTTTACTGGGTTGTGAGCGCAGTGCGACTCGGAGGGGACAGTCGAACGGTTCTCAGAAAAGCTCATACAGGCTACTTGTTGAAACCTGTGAGCTCCTGTAACCGAAATGGCTCATTCGAGTAATTTCACAGCTTCACAGGAGTTTATAGGTGTCACCAAAGTAATTGCAAAAAAGGCCCTCAGCCGAATCAGCCGCAATCTTGTTTATAGTGTTGGTTGTATTCTCATCGTAATGTAGTCTATTGCTTTAGCATCGGTTGCCGTCTTTGAAATATACTTAAAGCAGAAGGAAATTCAAGAAAATAAGGGGGGAAATAAGACAGAAAAAGCTTTGTTTCCGGCAGATGCCCTGAGACCGGCTAATTTCCGTATCCCGTCAAACCCATGCGGTTCATACTTTCCAGTTTTCAGGTGGTATACCTGCAGGAGGCGCCATGGAATACATCCGAAAACTTACAGGCCGAGTACTCGACAGAAATACCAACCTGATGGACCAAAGACTGAACATAAAATCCTAATTAACAGTGTTGGTGAAGGTGCGTCAGGTCAGACTGTCAGGCCAAAATTGAGTACGGTCACGTTAAAAAAGTATTTTTTCAGACTCGTCTCTCTATATGGTATCATGGCGGCGAACCCCACAGAAGTATGGTGAAATTCATGAAACGCCTCGAGGACAGGTCGTCTATCGAAAGAGCGTTCTGGGGTGCCTGGGACTCAATGAAGAAAAAGACATCTGGCGAATATAACAGTGTGCTTGCAACAGCATACTTGTTGTGAACTGTAAATAAACTTCTCACACATCTATTCTTCGGATAATTCGACCCATGAGGAAGTTGAAGTCAAACTCAGCGGCATTATAAATCGTGATAGATGGGCGCTCAATAACAACGGACTAGTCGCTAAACAACCCTCCAGAAAAGAAGAAAAAAGCGAAAAAAAAACATGGAGAACAACCTAAGTAAAGAGATAGGAAGGCAGCCTATCTGGACGAAATGCACCAAGCTTGCTCGTTTTGATGCCGCAAGGCCGCAATATCCTTACTGACCCGGCTTTAATAATCCCTTCTTGCGTCCGCCAATGATAATGCCATTTTAATAGATGAGAAAAAAATGAACAGGAGGCGTTTAGCAAACTGAACTCGAGTACGAACATAGCCTTTCGAGCTTTGGAGAGGGCGGGCAACTAGCGGCAGACCTCAAAGTCCATTATTTGACGGCCGTAGAACCTTTGATACCCGTAAAGCCGCAAAAACGTTATGAGCTTACTATTGAAGATTCAGTGCCAGACTACTTGCAGAGGATGCTCGAGCGCGGGAAAAGTTGTTCATCCTCCAGCAAACGACAAGCACACTTCATAGGGCACAATCCTACTATATATAATCCGCTAAGTTTGTCTGTTGGTCGTGTGTGTGGGTGTGTGTGGTGGGTGCCCGAGTGTGACTGTGGCTTGTGGTCGGCTGTGTAGTGTGTGTGTGTTGCACAACATGTGTGTGTTGTGTGTTGTGTGCATGTGCATGTGTCGTGTGTGTGTGTTGTGACGCTTGTCGTATCAATGTTTGTTCTGGTTAATTGTTGTTTGGACGGAAAGTTCTAATTTCTTTTCAACAACAGCGACAGAGATCTCAAATTCGAATAATTAGACGGTTGCGCGGAAAGTTCTGTCACTTTTATTTCGGACTAAAATATTTGCCCTCATACCCCTGAACAGGCGTGAACGGTACGTCGTGAGGACACTTATTACACAAAGAGCAATCTTTCTATTAGTACCACTCGCTTGATTCCTGCGCTTCTTCTTCTTCTGCAATATGGACAAGAATGTTATCCGCTACCATCGCCACCGACCCCTCCAAATGCTTCTGATAGTGCAGCGCACTTCCAAAAAGTTCTAGCCGTTCCTCCATCTGCAATAGCATGCTGGATGCACTCTCCAGTTGCATATGGGATATCACAGGACATTGTCTTCTAACTGGCGAGTTGACTCCCGCTTATCAATCCATTAATTGTGGACGAGAAATTACGAGAAAAACCTTCGAAAGCCATGAATCAAAGCAGTTTGTCCAAGATTTGTAATCGCGCCTCCTGCAGTTGTGAAGCCACTGATGCCATCAATGAGGTTAGCTCAAACAAACAGGCAAGGTTCACCCGCCAGTAACATTGCTGCGTTAACAATTTTTGACTCTTACACCGCCTCTCCCTGTTCGCTGAGTTGCTCAAAACAAACCAACGGCTACGGTACAGCAGATAACATTGCTGTACAATTTAGATCTTACACGCCTCTCTGTAAAAAGAAATCCCAGTTTGAAAAGAGTGACAGAACTTTCCCGCCAACCCAAATAGGTGGTTGGGCAGGAACACTATTGATGGGTGGCAGGAAGTGATAAGAGCTGATAGGATAACATAAGGAGCCTTAGGAGGTAAGGGCCATTAAATTCACTGAGGCGCGTCACGACACGACGCGGCGTTGTTCAAGAAATAAGGACAGGCGGGAGGATGGCTACCATTATCGATAGGTTGCAGGATATGATAACTGCTGATAAGATAACATAAGGATCCTTAGAAGGGGAGGGTCATCAACTTTATAACTTGCGTCACAGCGAAGGTAGAACGTTGCTCCGCGAAAGTAAGCGGCCGCGTCATAGCTTGGTTCCGGTGAGAAAGCAGAATGCGGGACAACATGCGAAGTGCGCGAAAGTGCAGAAGTGCGGAATCCTGCGAAAATAGCAATAAGATACTCCATCGACTTGATAGAACGCAGCAAAATGCCGAAAAGCGCGAGAAAACGATCGGTTTGCTATTCTGCACATTTATCCGGCACTTTACGGCATTTCCGCACACAGTTTCGGTTAATGCCGGTTGACTCCAGCAACTTCGGCACCGAGCTCATTTTTAAATTGCCTAAGTTACCAATCCCGCTAAAAACTTGTATGTAGGGGTAGTTTAACATCCTGATTACGAATATGACATTCACTCTTGCCGCTGGCGCTAATGGATGACACTACGATTACCTGCGCTCCGCTAAGGCTGAGCCCAAGAGGTAATCGTAGTGTCATCCCTTGGCGCCAGCGCCAAGAATGAGTGTCATAATTGTAATCAGGATGGTAAATAACCCTTGTGTACATACAGGGTGACCAAAAAGTTCTGGCAATTTTTCGGAATACTTCGGTTGCATAAAAAATACCGTTCGAAAAAGGAAATCAGCCAACTAAACGTCTGGGAGTCTTCATCTAATCAGTACTAATGACCGTATACAACAAAGTTCCAACAAGTGTTCAAAAATGCCTCCTTCAGCCTCAACACATCTTACGTAGTCGTTTTCCAAAGTGTCCGACAATGGTCGCGCATTCTTCTGATCTGTATATAGATTTGGTCATACACGCAGCGACGCCACTTTCAGGTGCGCTTTGGCAGGATGTGTCTGGCTCCCGTCTTGCTGAAGCACATGTCATCCGGGGCCGAATGCTGCTACGACACCATGGCGTCAGCGTTACATCGCGCGAGGAACGCGCTTGGTTGGGAGTAGACAGCATTTATCTTTACGATGCGCCTGTCGCGCAACGACGAAGAAATGAGAGGTCTTTCCGGGTGGCACAGATCCCGCCTCAGACCGTGACTGAGGCTGGAAAGAGTCTGCGTCCGACGGATTTCACAGCCGTTGCCTTCTGTTGACCTTTTCTGAGGAGCAGACAACAATTCCGGTAGTTGTGATCGAAAATTTTTCACGTCGGTAGCGAGCACATTCTTCAAGCAACAACCACCGACCAGAAGATGGGTTTCAACAACTGCAACTTTTTGATTTTTTCGAGACAGTGCGAGGAGAAATCGAAAGTGATTGGATAGATGACTCGTACGGTAGTTCGAAATGGCTTGCGGAATACAAATAACCCATCGGAGAGAAAACAGACCATAATTTATTTATTTATTTAATGCATCCATATAGGACACGCCAAAACACTTATAATATGAAATCAGCAGAGCACTAGGCAAGTATAACAACTAAAGAAGAGAAAAAAAAATCAAATCAACTCAACCAAATTTGAAGAACTGAAAGGAAATCGGTTATTGAATGCAGTGGCACGCTGGCAGGAGCACCCTTTAGAAAGAACCACAGAGATAACCCCACAGGACATACCACCTAAGAGCCGTCATAGTCTTCTGCAAGGACCCGCATCAGCCGGCTAAGATGCCCTTCACCAACAATGGGGTCATAGGGACTTGCTGAAACTCCGAAACACGGGTATACCGGCTGCCCACGTGGAATCAGCAAGCTGGAGTGAATGTAGAAAACCAAGACAGCTCTGCCCGAGGTGGATCAGTCCGTTGAAAATGATAGTCGGTTCGCAGAACAGGTCAACACAAACTGACAAAAGACACAGGGAGCAAAGCATCTAAGTGCCGCTACTCAACGAGCAACTCACAAAACATAAGAAGGGAGGCTAGGAAAACACATTACAGATAATTCCCGTAAACCCTAACATGGATACCCGAGGTAAAAAAAATTACCACGAGCATGTCACGTAGAAAAACAATAACAGATGCCATGAGCCAGCAAAAATCCAAGTGTCCACTCGAAGTGAGCTTCGCATGCTCCACCAAAATCATAACAATCAAATCCAAATGAAGAACGCAATACCACATATGGGCTGTAGACCAGATAGAGAGTCAACGGAAGAAAAGAAAAAATTGATGCTCCTCCAGAAACAGATGCACTGATGGGCCATTCAAAACGCCCAAACAACGAAATTGCCAGAACTTTTTGGCTCACCCTGTATTTTCGGGCAGGGTTTGGCCGACTTAGGTAATTCAAATGAGCTCGGTGCCGAAGTTGCTGGAGTCCAAACGGCATTAGCCCAGTTTCGGCATTTCTGCAGATTCCGCATACTTCTTTTTCGACATTTCTGCAGCTCCGCATTTCTTCACTTTCGGCATTTCTGCATTTCTTCAAATCGATACGTATGTAATGCTTTTCGTCATTTCTGCACTTTCCGCACTTCTGCATTTTCCGCATTTCTGCATTTCTTCACGAACGCAAGCTATGAAGGCGGCCTAAGATAGGAGGCAGGATGGGAACATGATTGGTGGGTGGCAGGATGTGATAACAGCTGATAGGACACCATAGCCCTTCACAGCACGAGTCGTAACAACACTGGGGAACTACCCTCCAGCAAGTGATTCAGACGTGGTTAGGGAACATGGTGGGAGATTTTAGTAAAGAGATATATGTTGGCAAAGGCTAAATGATGAGCCAAGAAATTTCTATCCTTTAGCGATAAGTCGAAAATGGTTCGACCGCTGAACTATAGATTCACCCAAAAGTAAAAGCCAAAGATGTTTGTCAGTGAGGAATGATAAGAGCCACCAGCAGACGGATACGTGAAAGCTGCTCGGAAGCGCTAGGAAATGAGTAGCTTTCACCAAGATTTCGATACTGTTACCACCGAAATTCTTTCAACCGCTGAGCTGTCCTTTTTCTAACGAATAGTGGGTGTTTTTACAAATGTGACAAGCACCAGAAATTGGCAAACGTTCATTAGAAAGGAGAAATATGATGAAATGTGGCGTATTCGAAGACATGGGAATTAGGTAAGTGTTAGTGGTCAGCACAGAAATCCTGTCAGTGGTCAGCACCACAGCTGGACGCGCAGAAGTGCGCGTCAGCCAAACTGGTTCACTATATAAGCCAGTTCACGCTAGTGATAACTTATCAAGAACTGTACTGTGAAATCTCCAAAAACTGTTCAAAAAGTCCG